TCGGCCTCACATTGAAATGTCGCCCTCACATTGAAATGTCGGCCACACATTGAAATGTCGCCCTCACATTGAAATGTCGCCCTCACATTGAAATGTCGGCCACATATTGAAATGTCGCCCACACATTGAAATGTCGCCCTCACTTTGAAATGTCGCCCTCACATTGAAATGTCGGCCACACATTGAAATGTCGGCCACACATTGAAATGTCGGCCTCACATTGAAATGTCGGCCACACATTGAAATGTCGCCCTCACATTGAAATGTCGGCCACACATTGAAATGCCGGCCACACATTGAAATGTCGGCCACACATTGAAATGTCGGCCACACATTGAAATGTCGGCCACACATTGAAATGTCGGCCTCACATTGAAATGTCGGCCTCACATTGAAATGTCGCCCTCACATTGAAATGTCGGCCACACATTGAAATGTCGGCCACACATTGAAATGTCGGCCACACATTGAAATGTCGGCCACACATTGAAATGTCGCCCACACATTGAAATGTCGGCCACACATTGAAATGTCGGCCACACATTGAAATGTCGGCCACACATTGAAATGTCGGCCACACATTGAAATGTCGGCCACACATTGAAATGTCGGCCACACATTGAAATGTCGGCCACACATTGAAATGTCGGCCACACATTGAAATGTCGCCCTCACATTGAAATGTCGGCCACACATTGAAATGTCGGCCACACATTGAAATGTCGCCCTCACATTGAAATGTCGGCCACACATTGAAATGTCGGCCACACATTGAAATGTCGGCCACACATTGAAATGTCGGCCACACATTGAAATGTCGGCCACACATTGAAATGTCGGCCACACATTGAAATGTCGGCCACACATTGAAATGTCGGCCACACATTGAAATGTCGCCCTCAGATTGAAATGTCGGAAATGTCGGCCACATATTGATACATCGGCAATACAAACGTACCTCCAGTAAACATTTCTCCAAGTCTTTAACAAGCCTTTCAAGTTCAGCAAGTAGTCATTTATATCCCAATCTTCGTCGCTGTGAAGGAGAAACCACGCTATACAATTAATAAAAAATAGTCTAAATGCTTTATGGTTTTAGCACCCATAAAATTTGCCAATCGCACCTAAATTGCCAATTTGAATGCAGAAAGCAGATTCTCTAGGCACTTTATTTGACATGTGAAGGTTATTCAAGAGGCAATGTCGATTCGCCAAGTACTCACTTTAGCAAACCTTTTAAAAAATAGACGTAAGAGGGAAAAAGTCTGCAAAATTTCTTTTTCCATTTGAGCGCATCCTTTTTGACATACACCCTTTATCTTAAATACCGGCTAGATACTTGCATTCTGAACATGTTATGTTGTTCTACTGTATTTCGATCTGAAAACGAGTGAGGTCCTAGTAAACAACACGCCCAGCTTCAGGAGACTGCTTAACTATAAGTTGAATCATAAAAAGGTTTCTAGTGTCTGCACTCAGCATTTCGATACTTTCAAGCCAACAGTCACATAAAAAACAGCTCTATATGCCACCATTTAACCAAACACGGAACAAAATGTGAAAGTGTGACACTGACCGGGAATGGCCGTAGCTCAGGTTTCCTCGGTTATCTATTATTGTCCGATCCGGCGTGCATTCGATCTTAGAATGAAACTTTGCTGTTAGCAGTTTTTCACAATAAATGCACCTGAAAGTAAAATATGAAACAAAAATTAGAACTCTTATATATCAAGTAGTAATATTGCTTCTAAGTTGTAATTCTAAGTCAAATAAAAGAATGAAAATGCATAAAAAACGGAAACACATACCGAAACATTGTGCTTGCGTTTGAAGGACAGTCCTCATTTCCAAAATCTGGACTAAAAAGCTCTTCAAATTTTTTGCAAAATAGTTTGCTACAACAGAGAAAAGAGTTTCGAAGAATTTTACCAAGGAAAATCAAAGATTGGAAAATTAAAGTCCAGAAACGCATCTAAGAGACGTGTATGTCCAAGTTACAATGATACGACTTTATACCTACATGTTTTCTATGCAAAACGTTAGCTTCAGAAGATTTCAGTGCTTTTCTTCGCTGTGCTAATGAAATCGTAATTTCAATGCTAGAATAAAATTCAGCCATAATTTTGGCAATGCCATTCCAGTGTAAAAAACAGTACTTTTTCTAAAAAGGATCCTGACCTATTATTACTTTCAATTGAGCTTTAAACATCTCCCTGAAAGAAACTGCTCCTATATCTAGCAAACACCTTCCTAAAACTGCATTAACATGCAACATAGACCAGAGGCGAGAGGGGAAGCATCATCACCCGAGCTGGCAATTAACCAGACTAACTTTTCTGACTCAATATTTGTGTAGATTACGAATTGAAGAGAATCTTAGGAAGGTGGTGGAGAGAATCTTAGGAAAAGACAGTGACAATAGATTCAAAATTACGCATGTTCTTGAAATATGAGAAGTTTTGAAAACTTGTTGTTCAACATCGTTCAAAGAAAAGGGATCCGTTAATTTAGACAAAGCTCTTACAAATCCTCTTGCACCGATGCCTTTTGCCCTTGCAACAACTGAAGATACAGATGTATCTGATGAAGAATCGCCAGAAAATGCCAGCTGCCATATAATAGACGTGGCAGCAACTTTGAGGAGTATGGGTATGTTAAGCATATGCTAAGCATGCCTAATAAATTTAAAGAGCTTTCATGGAAAATTTTGCGAAAAATATCACTTCAGCAGCAACAAATGTTTTTTGTCTGTGATTGGTATTCTGCCAGATCAATGAAAGGCGTAGAGAGAGACTCGCGAGGACATGGTGATGAATTTGTAATACAAAATTTATATATCATAATACCTGCAAACTTCACAAAATTTATGAGGAATGGCAGAAACAAAGAAAGGCTTTTTGATCTAATCGAACACGTTTGGATTGAAGATGCAAGCAATCTCAACTCAACGATCGAGTAATATACTTTGCAAGAAAAGATTATGGTTTTTCAGGGGTAATTCAGGTGGAAAAGTTAAACACAAACCGTGAAAAGGAATATACCAAATTCTGCTACCTAGCTAAGCATGCCCTACGGATGAATAACGGACAGGAGTGCATTGTGCGCTCTGGAGATGTTGATATTCTTGTTATCCTTTTAGTCTTATAATACAAGTAGCGCTATCTTTGTTATGGAAGCAAACACTCTTTGCATTTTCATGGCCTGCATGCATTTTCAGGGAATGACTACATCTCATCCATCTTGCGAAATGGAAAACCTGCATTTTTGGAGGTTGTGAAAGGACGTAAAACTGTGCAAGTGGCAATTTGTTACTTGGCTTGAAAAAAATTGTTTGCACTCTGTATGGAGAGAAACGATTGCTGTCAGTGAATGAGACAAGATGTGCTATCTTCTGGTGGATCTTTGAAAGGACAACAAAGTAATTGGTCTGTCACTGCTGCCCATATGTACAAGCAGAATCAAAAGCAATTAAAGGCAGTCTGTCCCCTATTGTGCTCAACTTTAACTTCAAGGGAGTGAAATTCACGCACCGTTGAGCTTGATCGATAATTAAAAGATTCAAACCAATCAGAGACAACTTTGATTCTAGAGGTTTTGAACCAAATGGCTGTGTTCTTGTTGTAGTGAAACTGTGGCTAGAAAAATTTGGTTCCCTGTTTGGTTTCTACTACAGATATGTCAACAGGGAAAAGAAATGCTTCCATTATCATCATTCAATTCCAGTTTCAGTAATCAAATCTTCTTGCCATTTCCGATAACCTTTTGCTTGCAGTTTCAAATGTCGTCCACTACCGCAGCTAGGACTGCCAAAGCAAGCAGCGTAATCTGTTAAGGCGAGATGAGCTATTGTTCATATCAGCCAATCATTGAGGCGACAGACTGCCTTCAAAGCGTGCAAACTTTGTGGCAAGGGTATGGAGAGCAAGGGTATGGAGTGGCAAGGGTGTGGCAAGCTTCGAAAAGCATAATCAACGTAGAAGAACCAGCCAATCATGGCTGGTTAGAAAATTTGTTAATTGATTGGTTTACGGAGCCCTACTATCCCGAGGACATTGCGGAGCTATTTTTTGCAAACGAAGAGAAGGAAAGCGAATCAGAAGGAGAAAGCGAATAAACTAAACGCCTTAAGAAAACAATAATAGTGAAATTCACCCTCTTTTGTGTTTCCTGTCATCTACCCATCAATGCCAGGAAAGGCTAAATTTGACAAAGCATTGATTAAGACACGTTTTTATTAATTAAACATTTTCTAAAATGCAATAATTGAATACAGTCAAATTGGGACAATTAATGTGTAATTTGGTCTTTGACCCTCATTATTTAGGAAACGCCCCGCTAAACGCAAAAGCAACATCAAGATTCGCAATCTACGCAAAAGATTGAGTCAGACGAAGTTTGTCTGGTAAATTGCCAGCTCAAGTGACAATGCTCCCCCTCTCACCTCTGGTCTAATATTGTAAACAATAAATTAAAAACAAACAACATATGATCATTGTAGCTAAATGACCTCTTAAACTTGTCTTTTTTGTCAGCAATCGCTTCGACCTCTTTATGCGTGAAAAGTTTTGCAATCCTAGAAGAAGAAAAAAAATAAACATTTTACAAGGTCTTCAATTTGCGCTTTCAAAAGTATTTTCAAGGAACTATATGCATGCACAAAGGTCAGCTTTATAGAAAGAGTCTAATATAATCAAGGAAATAAACTACATTCAAGCTTTCTTGCATCTTTCGCATCTTAAGATTTTAATGCAATAAATCTACAGACACTAAAGAAGATATCCATCTGTTTGCAATTTGGTTGCATCAAGTAATTCCAGCCTGGCAGATGGTGCCAGGTGTAAAGTTTAGAAGCTCATTTCACAGAATCAACTGACCTTGCTACTAGCTTATCATTTATACAATTCATGTTACATGGCGTGGCAATGATTTTTGAGATGTTCCTGTAGCAATATAAAATGCATTCTTGCACCTGAAAACAAGTTATAAGGTATTACACATCAAACTTGAAATTGAAATTAAGGGAGATGTGTAGATAAGAGCATTTTCACATATTTCTATATTGAAGAAAGAACTTTTTCTCTCAACCATAAATTGACAAAAATTGGAATGACAAAAAGATTAAAATTTATTCAATGCTCAAAATTTCTTGCAAAAGCACAATATCTTAATGGAGATTCACGGGTGTCTTAAAATAGATATTGATTCTAATGTCCTCATCCAAAACTCACTGTTTTACTGAATTAAGGATCATCTGTTGTTTATGACAGCCAAAGTTCCAAAGAAAATAATACTTCATAGAGTTATGATTAAAAAAAGCTAGACTTGAAGAGAAAAATTGACTTAGGACTGCCCTTATGAAGGGGGGGGGGGGGCTTGGTAAAAAATTGCACTTTTGGTCTAATGGGAAATAACATTTAAGAGGTATTTGTGACAGAGCTGATGCCAATGGGGAGCTTTGGGGGACATGTCACCCTCCTATAAAGCTGTTTGTCCGAAAATCTGAATGCTTGTGGTTAAATTTCAATACAAGCCCTAAGTCACATTTAACAATCAATTATTTTATGTTGCATTGGCTTAAAACTGAGTCCTCGTGTAGCAATTTAATGGCCCTTTGTTGGGCAAAACTTTAGGATTCCTTTTGCAAGAAACTCCGGGATTTTTCTGGTTGATCATGGAAGCCTTTACAGTGGGCTGCATGAAGCAAATGGCAAAAATGATAATCAAGATGTATATTCAGAATTTTACTATATGTTGAAGATGTCTTTGCCACTAGAGCACACGTTACACGAGAAAGTGCTGCAGAGATTTTAAATATAGGCCCATGTCAACCTGGCAAAATGAACACTGATCTAAAAACAAATGACAAGCAAAGGTTTCCCTTCTTTGATTCTGGATAGAATCTGCACAGAAATAGACCAAAGGTTTCAACATTTTGATGGGAATTTGTCAAAATTTGAACATCTACCCCCCAACAGAATTCTTGATGAATGAGCAAGGTCTCATAAAGAAGCGCATTCTAAAAGCTACTAGAGGATTTGTCAAATCTGATGAACCTGTGTCTTTGCAGAAACACTGAAATCGAAGTTTGCAGCCATGAAAAAGAGAAGAAGATTATTGATTGAAAACACCTGACTTTTTGGCATTATTGTGCCATGGAGCCTGTTTTTTCCATGCTATCAGGCTGCGTTGATAATGTTGTTTAACATTTTTTAAGTTGTAACATTTTGAATTTTACTTAAAATTGCTTTCTTTACAGCAAAAAGGCAACTACGCCATGAGGAAATCTATCTGCATCTCAAATATAGCAAATTCGGTTGCACAGTGAGCCACCAGACCTGTCCTAGCAAAAGGGATCTGACAAATAGATGTGCATGGGTGGTATTCTATCATTGAAGAAGATACTGTATGTCATCAGAAATACTATGCTGTCTGCCCCCTGACACCCTATTGCTGGTATGGGCCCTGATTGGTGATGACGTAAGACAATTAAAATACCGCAAAAATAGCAAACTTGTTGAACAGGATAAAAAAGGTAAACTTTCTAAATAAGCAGAGCTTTGTCTTACCAATTTTTCCATTTTCAAGAACTCTGATGATATCAAAATTGAAATAACATTTGAAGGCTCTAAAATATGAAACATGTTATCAAAATAAAGAAAATACCTAACCACTTTCATATTTGGATGTGCAAAAATATGTCATACTCAGATACTTAAATTAAGAAGGAGTTTTGTCTTTACAGCTAATGAATAGTTAAAGGACTCTAAGCACATATTAGTAGTCACAGGAGTAAACTGAATATGATATCAATTAGGATTCCATTAAATATTGTCTATACCAATCTTTATCCTTAAAAAATCACTATATAAAAAACCTATACTAGCATGATGTGCATGAATGCATATGATTTCCTTCAAACAAACAATTCAAGTGTCTACTTTTAGATACAGATACTTTATAGTATCTTGTTTTGAATTAATCCTTACATCACAGAACTGCCCATACATTAAAATCAAGGGCTTAAAATTATTATGTGAAAACAAACAAATGACAGCTGATTGTGTAAACTTGTAAGAAGGAAGACAAGATTGATGTATAACATGGTATGATGTGAAAGTTGCAACACTGAAAATGAAGCTAGCCGGCAGAAAAGTGATACATAGAGATGTATTGACCTAACTTAAAAACTGACATTTGAATTTAAAGATAGAGATTCTATCACGTTACATGGATTTGAAATGAATAAAGATGAATGCCATAGAATATATTACCAAGTTTGGGTTTATCCTCCACAGAAACACTCTCTTGTTTTACATACCGCATTAACCAATCAAAAATATACACATCACAGTGAACAGAAATATCAACATCTTCCCACTTGTCAGTTTCATTTGACAGATAATCAGCAAAATATTTCATTTCATTAATCAACAATTCCTTTTGGCATACAAAATCTTGTTTTACTGAAAAAACAAATAAGAGAAACTGAAAAAGGAAACGTGGAAGACAGGTTAATGTAAAGGTATCTTTAGAAGAACTCTTACTAACATCAGCCAAGAAACAAAAATGAAATATTGCATACTATATCACTGCTGGAAAATTTGTTATGTTCAGGTTAGGGCTGTCCAAACCTTCAGATATTCCTATTTGGTTATTCGGCTTATAATTTAACGAATATTCGGTTATTCGGCGAATATGGGTGTGGCAAAATGGGTGTGGCAGGGTGGTGGTAAAAAACTGCAATCTGAAAATTTATTGTAATTTAACCAAGCTGTGAATATAGCTTATCAGTCATTACTATTCGATAAGTTAGAACCATTAATTTTTTGTTTTCCTATTGATATTTCCTGTGTTTTACGTAACTTCAAAGGGTGTGCTACAAAGCAATTTTTAAAACGATTTTTTGTCAAAAATAAATGTTTTCTTGAACCTTCCCTAGCATTAGTCACCCCTAATGGCCAGAAAGTCAGTATCAAATTGACGAGAAACTATAGTCGTAAGTCTTCAAAAAGGGTCGTTTTCCAACATTTTGTGAAATGAAAAGCTTTCTAGCACGGGCTTCGACACAGGTTGGGAAGTGGAGAAAGGGGGGGCAAGAGACAATTTAACACTCACAACAGAAGATTTTGTGAAAAGTTATATTATTCTGCAAAATAGTGATACGGCCAAAGCCCCCCGGCCACCCTTCGTCTGAGGCCCTGAAAAAGCCCCATGACCCCCACCTGCAACCCCGTCTCCACTCCCCCTGCCCCCTCCAATCTTGCTTTATTCGCTTTGTAACTATTTCTTGGGTTTGCGATTTTTGAAGAAGGCCCGTATCCATGAAACTTTCTCGAAGATTGAAGATAGGAAGTTGCCTTTCCCTTTTAGAGCAATCCTTGCTATTCGACCAGTTAATGCTATTTGATCAGTCACGGTTATTCGAATAGTCACAGCTATTCGATCATTCACGGTTATTCGAATAGTCACAGCTATTCGATCAGTCACGGTTATTCAAACAACCATTGTGGACCTCCAACAGTGAGGTTATTCGCACTATTCGTCTCCAACCGAATAATCGTACTATTCGAACTATTCGTTTGTAACCGAATAATCGTACTATTCGAACTATTCGCTTGTAACCGAATATTTGCTTTGGACTTCAGCTAACCGAAAAGTGAAACATGTAACCGAATACCGATTATTCGACCTTCGGTGGACAGGCCTAGTTCAGGTAGAAATTCTGCTTAGAATAAAGTTTTTGCTTGTGTTACAAGCCCTAATGTGATTATGATTATGATGTCTTAGGAAAGACACAAATGGACTAAGTAATATAGAAGTGTGATTCTCATCTCATATCAGGATTTGCAGAAAAAAGCATTGTATGAACAAGTTTTTAAAAGAGTTACCATTTTTAGCTTCATCACAAACATGAATTACAATACTGGATCTAAAAATAAAAGAATTCCAATTATACAAAAAATTCAAAGCTGGTTTTCCAATGACAATCAGGCATTGCAAGGAGCAGAACAGCACATCTTTGACAATCTTAACACCTTTGCATTTCTAGGCAATCAGTTGAGCACCTAAGAAAATCTATGACGAGGTTACCTATATCGTGAGTCAGTGAGTTGTGAGTCATGAATCACGAGTTATGATCAGTGATACATTATATATATACCTCTATAGCAAGGCTAAATGAATAAACTGGATACACATGGATGATGATATCCTGTTCTTTTCTATACAACGCTATGATACAATGGTACATCTTTGCTGGCATCATCCCTGGACGCAGGGGTGTGGGGGCACCCAGGACAGGTATATAGGAGCATACTGAACATATGCCCCAAAATGCTCTCAGAGTTGAGCAAAGACTCAGAATTATGAAAGACAACATTTATATATGTTTCTACATGTTATATATAGTAGTATAGTATATCTATACGGACACAGGCACCTTTCTAGTTGGACACACTAACAACAAACTGGATCCCAGATCTCCTAACGACACAAGATTATGTGAGAGGGCCAAGTTTGATGTGGTTGAGGTTGGTTTTACACTGCTTTTTCTCAGTTTTTGACAAGCTGTGCTTGTCCTATTTTTATGGTTTCAAACAAACATTCAAATTTGAATGTCATATTTTCATTCTGCATAGGAAATTGTCTTCGGAGTTTAATCGACTCATTGCAACACATTACAACTCATTGCAACTCATTGCAACTCATTGCCACTCATGATTCATTGACTCATTGGCTCAAACGCTAGTAAATATAATCAATGACTCAATTTACAGCTTACTATAAATTCTAATTAGTCAACAACAGTTCAAAAATTGTGGTTTGTCATCATTAAATGTCTGTTTGCTATTCCATAAAGAGCGTCAAATTTATTACAAAATATCTTCAAATCTGACAAATAACAAAATAAGATTTTTTAATTGACTTATTTATACAGCATAAATGCACAAGGCTAGATTGACAGAGCTCCTAGAACTTTCTAGGGCCATGGGGGGCATTATGTCACTACCTGGAAAAAGGCACGTGTCTCTTGCTAATGAATTTCTTTACCACGCTAAAATTTCAAGTGGAACTTGAAAATCAAATAAATAGTTCATTTAGTCATTCTAGAATTTTTTTATATAAATACTGGTCAAGAATACCTGACATGCACTCAGGCAGCCCTTCCATGTGAATAACATGACACAAGAAATAGATTTTTTGAGTAAATCAAGCTGACCAATAAATTAGGCAAAATTAAAGTTGAATCTCACTTTCCAGATAATCCTTTGGCCTCTTTGCCTTTCGTGCTTGGCCATTCTTCAAAGTAACTTTGCTAAGAACAAAAAAAAGTTTAATCACAGATTTTAGGTGCACACCTTTAATAAATCATTCAATGAAACATTTTTATATAATATAAAAATCTTTTACAATACATGCTTACATCTACATCTGACTATACTACCTAATTACTTTACAAAGTGTACAACACTCCAGGGACAAGACCATAGGAGCAAAAGCCAATGACTACCCTGTGGCCATTAACTTAAACAAATATACAATAGGTAACAGCTAAATGAAACAATTACAGACACTTACAAATACTATTAGTCATTGATACCATAGTCATTATCCATCATTATGCAAGTACCATAGTCATTATTCATCATTATTACCATAGTCATTATCCATCATTATGCAAGTACCATCATCATTATGCATCATTATGCAAGCACCATAGTCATTTTTCATCATTATTACCATAGTCATTATGTATCATTATGCAAGGACCATAGTCATTATGTATCATTATGCAAGTACCATCATCATTATGCATCATTATGCAAGAACCATCATCATTATGCATCATTATGCAAGTACCATCATTATGCTTTTGTAGAAATAGGGCAAAATACAAAATAGCACTCGGTCACACTCTTTTACCAGTCTAGGGGTGCAATATGCCCAACTTGTGCCAACCTATTCCTGGTAAAGCTTGCATTTGAAGCATCTATGGAGCATCAATCTTTACATGCATTTGAAGCACTTCTAAATTGACTTAATCTTTTTCCCCATTTGCAATACTTTGGACCACAAGAGCCTTTGAAATTCTCACACAATAAAGCTTGTCCTATAGAACAAGCACCAAAAAGCTTGTCCCATAGAACAAGCACCACTATTTGACATGGCAGTTACATAAGAGACAAAAAAGGCTTTATTTAACATCAAACTAAAGTAAAATGTTTCAGCATTAAAATGTCAAAGTTCATTCAAACACAGAAACTTTGCTTTTTGAGAGAGCTAAAAAGCCAATTTAAGGCCAGTAACTACCAAAATACATCGTTGCACATATGACTTGTCAAATGGTGTAGAAATATTTGCATTTGAATAAAATGATGTCCAAAAAACTTCAGGCAAATGAACTTGCTTAAGGCATTTTTAGGCAGCTAGAACTGTTTTCTTCAGTGTCTGACCAATAATTTTATCGTTTCCTAACTCCTAAAAATGTAAACAATTTATAACATATACATATGTAATTTTTTAGTTGCTCTCAAGAGCCATTAGTCAATCAACTTGATTTTTTGTTTATGGATTTATGAAGGAAACGTTAAATTCAAAAAAGCTGGGCAAAGGTTTTCTTTATTAAAAGTGAATATTACAGTTTGTTCAATTTTTTATATTACTTGTTTTTATTATTTTCATGGCTCTAAAATGATGATTTCATGCACAACTTGCTCTTTGTTGAAATTACAGTTGTCAGTAAAATTGGAATTACATTAATTTTCTAAAAACGAACTTACCTCCATGCTGTCTGCAACGTTTTCAGAATTTGAAGAAGGGTTCTGTTTAGTATAGATAGGACTGCAAAAAAAATCACATCACAACTGGCTTGACAAAAAACTTTTTGGTATAGGAATGCCTAGAAAAGTACAGCTTTAAAAAAGCCGAAAAATGTTTCAATTGGCTTAAAGATTTGAAACATGAAAACAATGCAGCAAATGCTACTCACACTTTTGACACTGAGAGTAAACTGTCCTGGTACCTTGTCCCCTTTCCAGCCATTTTAAAATAAAAATCGACTGATAGAAGAATAACTAGGCTAATAAAACTCCATGACATTGACCAAGTATTTCTTGACTTGTTACATTAAACACGCCGAGCCAAATAGGACTCCCTGCTTAAATATTAATGAACCTGCGAGCAATGGTTGTTTTGTTTTGAAAAAGCCGAGTTCAAGAAGGCGATTGGATTATTGGTCTTGCTTCTAATGAGCCACCATATGTAAATTCTTTAGAATAACGAATTGAGGGAAGCATGGAGCGAGAATTGCAAAGGAACAGAATGGAAGTCTATGCATTTTTAATGCGCCAAATTATGTTAGAACTGGTGGTAGGAAATAATTTCTACAACGACCTGTCTCACATGAAAGCCACATATGAATGCAAGATTTATTTTTTGCTCAAATTCTTCAAGTTCTGTGACTGAGTGTGTCTGGAATTCTGATTTTATCTCTCCGCATTCAATGATAATTTATCGGTGTTAACCGCCGCCATCAATCCGTATTCAAAAACTGCATTTTCAAAAGCAAAATATTCTGATCTTACCAGCAGCTATTTCCTCCAAGTTATCGCCATTACAAACGCATTTCACAATCCAAATTAATCCCAATGCAAGCCAATCTGCTCAAAAATCTTTTCTTCAACGCCATTTGTAACAAATTTGGTTGAATCTGTGTTTTTAGTTGTTGCTGCTGTACACCAATGGTTTGATCGAAAGAGAGACTCCCAGGAAAAGGGCGGGCTTCGTTTCCTCTGAAGGTACTGATAGGGGGACTGTAAGGAGCCAGGAGGGAGGAACCAGGTACGCCTGCACAAGATTAAAGCAGGAGGGGCAGTGTTGGTTCTAAGAGCAAATAGAAGAACTATTTTCACTGCCATAAAGCAGTACTTGCGAGGGAGGAGAAGGAGGCAGTGGCGAAGCTAACCAAGAACAGGTGGTGCTGCGGAAATGGGGTGAAGCCACGCCCTAACGACCATCGGAAAAGGGGGAAACGCCCTTCTAGATATGTTGAGATCAAGATTGCAGCGAAACATTTTCCACTGCTACATTTTGGAAAAAAGGGGATGAAGGCTCGGATCCTTTCAAGTTCCTCCTGCCTTACATTGAAGAAGTCAAAAGAGCATCACAAAAATTCTTTCTAAATTGAGTAACATTTGAAAGTGTTTTCATTGATTGAAAATTTTGAAATCATTAACTAAAAAGAAATTGCTTGTGCAGATAGGCATATACAGTTGTAATACATACTGGAAACATAATTGATTCAAATTATTTAAAAAAAGTAAAAATATTTGTCACAACATGGATATGTCTGATGCACGGTAGATAGGGTCTTGAATCGATTTGCTTTGAATATCAGAGGAGATCCCCGACATTTTGCCAGTACAATACAATCTGATTCACCGAGTACAAAAACTTCTAGTAATTACTATTGTTTTCCTGTTTAAGGCAGGAGGACGAACTGCTGAAATTAAATTTAAGCAAGCCCTTTTTCTGTCATGCACACTCCATCTCCCCTCGATCTCGACTTTCCTGGTACAAAAAAAACGAAGATTCTCTCTCGGCAGCGGCGGCAAACTTCGTCTACTCTTTATAATAAGTCTTTGAATATGACTTCCTCAGTGGCGATTCTAGCCTTAAAAGTCTGGGAGGGGGCCAAACTTTCAGTTATAGAAGCCAACACTAGTTATTACTTTGGAAACTAGTAGAATGTAAAACAGTGGCGTGGTGGCTCAAAATTAGCTAGCTACAAGTCACCGGTTCTTAGCTCCCCATAGATAAGTATGTCCTTGGTACAGCTCTATCAAGGCTGTTATCATTATGCCAAATAGTTTTATTTGTGGTGTAAGGAGCAGCTGTGTCCCCTAGGAAAAATAATAAAGACAAATTGTTGCTGGGGGCCCCTAAAGGTTCGGGACCGTTTGTTATTTGACTAAAAGTAACTTTGTTCTGTTACTCCACTGAGTTTTATCTGTTTAACAATCATGCATCATGAACATGGTTTTCAACAGAAGAACTAATTTTCTAAAAAATAAAAGTCTAATAGCTTTGGGAGGCTGATTGGTAAAATTTTTCCACAGTAGTTATGTCTTATATCCAACCTCCATGAGATCAAGGAAATCATTCTGTTACACAGAACTTCAAGCCATACAATTTCGATAAGCAATAGTAAATTTGCCAAGGTAGACTGGGATGGTATTGGGCTGACCCTGCGCACCCCACCGCAAGAAGGTGGATCATCGTGATAATTTATAGCAAATTTAGAATTTAAATTATTGTCAAGAATGAGTTTTTCTTGGTAACTACAGAACTCTTGGTAACTCTTGGTTTTTATTTGGTAACTTATTAGAAAGGAGCCAGAAGTTCGTAAATGTCCACCTCGGTTACAAACCAAAACGCTTATCGGGGCCCCTAGTTTGTTAAATAAATGCAATAAAGATAGCATTGAGGAAAATAAAGAGAGCAACCCTAACAAAGTCAAACAACGATTAAACAGCTTCGGATGAAAACATTGAATTTTTAATAGAGACTTTTGAAAAAACTGGGGAGGCAAAACAAGGGGCAAAAAAAATTTTTGGGGGGCCGTGCCCCCCTGGCCCCCTGGCCCCCCTGGCCCCCCTTAGAAGCGCCACTGGACTTTCTTTGCTTTCTGCAGTCTGAGAGAAAACTATATGCATATCAATAGGACCAACAACAAATTTTTACAGTAAACAGGACCAACAGAATGACCCTAAACAATTTGATTTCCATAAGTACCACTCGTCTTGAAACGATCGATTCTTGTATAAATCAAGTGACGACAGCGTAGGGCCGAAGCTTCTAGCAGCAAAAACTTCTTCAGCAGCAGAATCATGATGTCTTCGTTACAGTTAGTTTTATCCATGATATCAAAATAGTGAAGCCTGACTATGGCCTGAGTGAAAATTCTTTGTCGCAGAAAATCAACAAGTTATACCGAAACATAGGGCTCCAAAAGTCTAGGTCCTGCCTTTATGAAAGAGCAGGACCTGAGGTCCTGCCATTTCTGAAGGGCAGGAGGGCCATTATTTTCTTCTATTGTAAGGCAGGACCAAAAACAGGGCTACGAAACGTTTGCCCATTGTTGGGCAGGACCAAACATAGGGTTTAGTCCTGCCTACGAGTATTGGGCAAGACTGACCACAGGGCTAAATTTTTGGCGATATCAATTTACGAACGGGATACTCGAAATTCCATTTCAGTCACCCTGTGTCTCAAAATTGAAAAAAGGCACAGCCACGAAGTATAAGACAAGTAGAATAAGACAAGAAATGCCTTTGAATCAGACAAATAGTGATTTCATAAAGTGAATCAATTTTTAATATTTTAAAAATTCTTATCTGTGGAAATTTGTGGTCCTGCCTCTGAAAGCAGGACCTTTGGCTTCGCCACTGAAAGGAGGTACAAAAAATATTAGCATGGATCTGTTCTACCCATAGAGCTGGGTTTGTTTACGATCAAAAGCTCTACACATAGGGATAATGTTGACAAAATTCTCCATGCAAGTGGGTATTAAATGGCCTTATCATTATTCGAATTGTTTGGGTTCACAAAAATCATGGCAAACATACACGGGCTGGTAAAACTTTGATTGTCCACTAGTGTCAACTCTCAATTCTCCATGTTTGCAGGTTCATTTTGCAAATGCAAAAAAAAAATTAATAATCACAAGAAAAAAGGACTATTCTTATATTAAGGCATAACATAAGCGTAACATTCTCGTTCTGACAATGGGCACAAAGTCATTATCTCATAAGACGCCGCTGGTTTTTGAAGTTTACCATCGTCTGCTGAGAAAGAATCTTTTTCTATTTGTTTTCAATTTCTAATGGAAATCAACATAATGAGAGTGACTAAGCTGAACTAGTCATCAACTATCTCAAGATTCTATAATCTTTTTTAGGAGTTCACTGCTTGCCTCTGCCCAGGGGCAGGCTGGTCGGTCGGGCTACCGGCCAATTGCGGACTTCACGGCGATTTTTCTTAATTTTTGCTATTAAATGTCAACCCGTATTGTTTGGTAGGGGCCCTCTTCTGTTGCCATAGCACTTAGAAATTCTCACTAGAAATATAAATTCTCACTAGAAATTTGAATTCTCACTTAGAAGCACGCTAGAAATTCTCAAAATTAGTAGATGCAGAATGAATAAAAAGATCACTTTGAGGTATTTAAGTACTGGAAAAGCATTTTCCAAAATTTTGGGCCCCAGCATAGAGAATACTGGGCCCAGGGCTCACTGTGCCTAATATAATCATGCGATACTTGACTGGAATGTCCAAAATCTGATCATTTTTTTCTTCGGGCCCTCAGTTTAAATGTATTTTTATTTAAATGTAATGTGTTCATATACACTCTTTTTTTATAAGAACCAGTAAATTTCAGTTCAGGCTGGCTGTTCTTAATTTTTCTAAAATCTGAGGCTGGATTGTTCTTAATTTGTTCTTAAAATAAGAGGGTGTAAGCAGTGCTATTGCTAGCTTTTTCACTCTAAGGAGGTGTTCAGGCTTCATTTGCCAACAAAGTGAGTGAGACAGCCTTAATTTGCTGACAAATTTAAATATTCACCGAAAAAGCACCCGCACATCGCTAAAAATCCTCGATTTTGAGAAAAAACGTTGTTCAGAATTGTATTTTGAAGAAACTCAGCCTCAGCTTGTTCTTAATTTGTTCTTAACTTTTGACCAGTTTTGAGGCTCGTGTTCTTATAAAATTGTTCTTACAAAAAAAGAGTGTAAAAGGACTGCGTATACCCAACTTGCATCAAAAGAATACTGACCAATCAGAAGCCGTTATTTTGATATACTTGACAAGTTGGGTATACGCAGTCCTTTTATATTGACACATTACCTTTGAGCATAAGTCTAGGTGGTAAAGACATAACCGTTTTTGTGACTCAATTTCTAGTAAGTTACAAAATTTTGGCATAATTGCATTGGCCTGGCCTGAATGTGCTAGTTTTTTATTCCAAGATTTGTTGACGTGGCGAAAACAATGCAAAATAATGAATAAGTTTTTAATGTCTCCCTTAATAAACGGAACAAGAAAAAGAAGCGAGACCTTAATACAACACGAGAAGAAATGGAACCGTTCAAAACTAGCCCAAATAGACGTTGCTTTTACACGAGAACTGTTGGAACCGTTCCATTTGGGACCTGCTATCCACTTTCTTTTGGCTCCGCTACAGAAGTAGTTCCATTTGGAACCGTTCCGTTTGGCTTCCGTGTAAACGGGCAGAACCGCTTGAAACCGAACCAATCGAGAACGCTTAGGAGACGAGGGGTGTCATATGCATTTCGGTAATCTTATGCATTTCGGTCCGGGCACTCAAATGTGTGACAATTTTGGTTGTGCAAAAACGTACCCAATCACTTAAACATTAGGGTACCAAAACGAATAGTGGAGTTTAGCATGCAAAACGGTCCAGGTACACAATTTTCTGTTTCATATTGTTCAGAATATGAAGAGCAATCGAACTATTTCTAACAAGGGGGTACTAACAAGAAGCTGTGCT